AATAAATAAATAAAATTAAAAAACACGCACACAAAAAAACAAACCAACCCAGTATGAAACCAAATACTGAAAGTTTAAAAAGCATGCAAAACAATACTACTTAACCGTGGGTCGCCTCTGTGACAGAGGTGGGGGGTGGCCCAGCAAGGGACACCCAGGAGCCTTCAAGTGACCCTGTCAGGGAGTTGACAGTATGTGTTATATTATCACCATTTTTTTGCATAATGGAAAATTTTTACATTACAACTTTTTTTTTTTTAATAATAGGAACAGCCAGCACCTGCGTTGGGCTGGGCATTCGAGTGTGTAGGGTTTTCCCACATGATGTCATGGGCCAAGAGTGCAGAAGGGGCTTCCTGCAAGCCCCGCTCAGAACAAGGTGGGGCCTGGGCTGGGGGTTCTTCCAAATCTCCCGAGGGGGGAAACCCCAGCCTGAGAGCGGGAGGGCCAGCCCAGGGGGTGACCCCTGCTGGACGGGATAGGGTGAGGAGCTGAGGACAGGGTTTGTCTCCCACTGCCCTCCCCCAGCTGGGGGCTGCCCCGGCACAGAGGGCCTCTCTTCCCACCTCCCGGCTCTGGGGGCTTGCTGCCGGTCCCCGTGTCAGGGACAGGCTGCTGGAGGCAGCACCGGGCCCTGCGTCAGGAGACCTGGGAAGTGTCCCAGTGCTGGACCCGAGGCCCTGTGGCGTCTCACTGCCCCGCCTGGTTTCTTCCCCGGGCCCCGGGACCACCTCACAGGGCCGTTGCGAGGATCGGAGAAGGAAAGACTAGTGCCCCGGCAGCAGGGCCCGGAGTCTCACGCGGCTTTTCCCTCCGATGGGAAATCTTTGAACATAAGCGTCGTGAACATGCGGTCGCTCCCAAATGGATCGTTGTTTTGGCTGAAGAACCAGCAAGGCCTCGAGTGTAACCCACTCGGCCGTCCCTGCGGTTACAACTGGGTGTGCTTGCCCTCTGCCGCCAACGCTGCAATTAACGTCTTCGTGGGCTTTGACTTTTTTAATTCTTTTAATGAAGGTTTTTAAATTTCATTTTTTTGGGGGGGAGGGACATCGATCGGTTGCCTCTCGCGTGCCCCCAGCTGGGGGACCTGGCCCACAACCCAGGCATGTGCCCTGACTGGGGATCGAACTGGTGACCTTTCAGTTCTCAGGCCGGCGCCCAGTCCACTGAGCCACCCAGGCCAGGGCTGGGCTTCGATTTATGCTTTGTGTTCCAAAAGTTATTTCACTTGGACAAATCCCAGAGGGAGTAACGGGTCAAAGTATGCAAGTGGCTCCCGATGCACTCTGTCAAGTTGCTGGCTGCACAGGTCGGCCTGGCGACCTGCTGTGGAACAGGTGGGATTCACAACTAATCCTGAAAAAGACAGAAGGAGACGTTTATACTTGTTTACCAGTTTTAAAAACACCTCATTTGGCCGTATTGTAAATCCAGTCTGTGCTCCCTTAACTGGACAGCTTCGAAATTCTTCGTTTCTTGACATACCTTTTAAAAGCAGGGAGAATTCAGACAAAACGAGACTTGATTCGTATTTAACATTTGACAAAATATTTACCTGGCGTGTTTAAATGCTCGCCCAACCCTGCTGCACGTGCTGGCTTTGCGCACCGTCTCTACCACCGGGCACCCTTTATTTTTCCTACACAAACAGGACTTTTCCTAATTACCACTTTGCAGCCCCCCCTGCCCGGCCCCCGCCTGCGAGGTCCATTGGTAAGGTGGGGAAGGAGGAAGCCCTATATATGTCATGTACACACCTCTCTGGAACCCGTGAATAAGCACACACTTCATTTAGTAAGAGTTCCCATTCTGCCGGGCGCTTGCGCCATCTGCTTTAATCCCTGACCCTTGTTGATAGTTACCCCCACGACGTTACCGCGGGAAAGCAGAGGCGCAGGCCCTAGGCATGTAGCGGTGATGAGAGAAGTAGGTAGCGAGCACAGGCAGCACCGAGGTCGAGAGGTCCCTGTGGTCCCGGACCTGTTCCCAAGTTCTGGCTCACAGTTCAGCCCTCCTGGGCCTCGCCGTTAGGACTCCGGGAACGTCTGGGTCCCCAGGCGCGGCTGAGCGTGGGATGAGCTGCGTTGCCCCCCCCCCCCCGCCCCCAGCAGCGACTGGCGCGTGCGCTGTGATCACGGCGCCTTCATTGATCGCTCGGGAGCCCCAGAACTCGGACTTGCCCCTCGTTCATTCTCCAGAAACTCTCAAGCACCAACTGTGAACACAGTGGGGCTGCCCTGGGGCCACGGAGCCCGGCTCCACTACACCCTGTGTGGGGTCCGGGTAAGTCACCTCTCAGCCGGAGGTAAATAGCCTGCGACCGCAGTTTCCTCATCTGTAAAATGGAGAGAGCAGTGACTGCCTCGGAGCCCTGTTGTGAGGCTCGAAGGAGGAAAAGGGCGCAAGGAAGGCCGCAGCAGCTGCAGCAGGTGCTGCAGGTGTGCTCTGGGCTGACTCAGGGCCCGCGGGGAGCTCACCATCCAGTGCAGATCACAGGGGGGGAGGGTCAGGTAAGGCACCAGCAGGAGGAACTTTTCCTAATGGTGGGGAAAGGTTCTGGGAGGGCTGCCAGGAGGAGGTGGCGTTTGCACCAATGGAAAATCAGGCCCATTGAGTGATCAGAGCTGCTGCCGGCCACCAGAATGTCCCTTGAGAGCCTGGACAGCAGATTTCACATAGGCGGGAATGTCAGGCTGACTCCAGTCCCCCAGAGGGGACACCTGAGAACCTCTTTGGGAGCTCTGCCCACCTTCTCTGTCAAAGGACAGATGAGCTTCATGCATTCATTCATTTGTTCGTTCAATAAGTATTGAGCATCTGCTATGTGCCAGGCAGTGCTCTGCATACTAGAGATGTCAGCAAACAAGACAAATCTCTAAGTCTCAGAGCTTATATTCTAGTGGGAAACTAGACAATAAACTAAATAAACAGAAGGAAAGCTGTGTCGGGTTGGTCGGTGTGAGTGTGAGATCTGGAGGAAACTTGGGGAAGAATGTCCCAGCCAGAGGGGAACAAGCCCTGGGGCCCTGCAGGCTCACTGGGCCGAGTATAAAACTGCAAGGGCCCAGGGAAGCAGGGGAGGGCAGGGAGAGGTCAGAGGGCATGTTGTGGGCAAGGTAATGCATGGAGGTAGGAGCCAGAGACCCGATGGAGCGGGGCAAGGTCAAAACAGAGAGACTGTCGCCCGGGAGCTCATGGCAGGGGCGACAGCAGCTCGGACGGGAGGAGGCAGCGGAGGGGAGAAGAGGTCGGATTCTGGGTGCGCTTGAAGGTAGGGCCCAGAAGACTTTCTGGTGCTCTCCGCTGCCCCCATCGGACCGCCCCCCACCCAGGGCGGGCCCTCCGGTGCTGCGGGACTGCAAGGTCCCTGGTGACCTTGCCCACTTGGGAGCCTCCTCATTCTGCAGGCCACTGTGGGTGTAAGAACTTAAGTGCTTTGTTTTGAAGTTTTTGTTTGGTTTTGTTTTTTGCAGAAGTAAAACCACATGTAATCACTGTAAGAAAAGCTCTACCTCCAGGGCACTACTCCTCCTGGGGCGGCAGGGATTCGATGGGATTAGATGAGATTAGACTGGAAGTTTAGACGCCTTTCATAAATTGGTTACTGAAGCAAAGCCTGAGAGGGAGGCCCCGGGCAGCCCTGCCCGGACAGCTGGGCTGAGGCCGCGAGCCCCGCAGGCTCTGAAGGCTGCTGGCACTTCTGATTGCTGCCTGAAGTTTGCCGCTCCCAGTCCCTGTGGGGTCATCACTAGGAGAGGACTCAGGGCAACACTGGGGCTTTCTCCTGAAGGCAATGGGGAGCCATGGAAGGCGGCAGGCAGGGAAGGGACAGGACCAGGTTTGCTTTTCAGAAGAGACTGCCTGGCAGTTCCAGGAGGCTAGACTGTAGGAGGGGTGGCAGGAAGCCAAGAGGTTCAGGTGGGGCCTTGGGGGAGGGGCGGGGCGGGGAGAAGGAAGTAGGGGCAACTAGAGGTGCAGGAGCTGCCACTTACCCTGACTCACCTGGGCCCTGTCCATTGTAGCTCCGCCCTTGGGGCCCAGGCCTGATGCCAGCCTTGCCCAGGGCTCTGAGCTGAGGTTCGTGCGGCCTCTGGGGCCCAGGTTGGGCCGGTGACTCATTTCTGACCGGTTTTAGCTGAATAGGACAGTTCTATCTTGCACCTGAGCTATTTGTCTCTCCTCGTCACAGTTCAGGGTTTTGGCCCCAAACAGCAGCACATGACAAAAGGATTTCCGGAGGTGGTTTATGGGACTTTTGCTGAAATAGTTGAGTGAACTTCACCTGCAGCCTTATAGGGAGCCGACCCATTCCTCCGAGCTCCATGCTTCTCCCTGGCCTGTTCTAAATCAGGGGTGGGGCCTGGTCCTCATCTGGGTAGGAAAGACCAACTGTGTCCTTCCAGCAGTGGGCCCGAGCTCCGCTTCAGGCCCTGCATGCTGGGTGATCACTGATCACTCTGCAAGGACATGCCGCCTCCTCCAGGAAGCCGCCCAGCTCTCCCTGGATGGTCCTGACTAATGGGGTGCAGGGAGCATGGAAGCCCAGCTCCATTGCCTGGGGTTTTGACAAACTGGAGATGTAACTACCAAGAGCCCCCCCAGAATCAGACCGTAGCTCCCCTCTGTGGGACTCGGCCAGAAATGGGGTCGCTTGTCGTCCCCTCCCCTCTCCTGCATCCCGCTCCTTTCCCGGCTTGTCCTGGGAGCACCTCCTGAGTGCCTCGCTGCACAGGAATCTAAATCTGCTTCTGGGGCACCGACCAGGACAAAATCCCACAATTTCCTCCTGTGGTTAGTTAGCTCGTCTTCACCACCCGCCTCAGCAGCTCCATCACACTCTAGAATGGAGCCCGCCAGGCCCCACCAACCTCTCTTCTGCAGGAAAGTTCCCAGAGGAAACGCCCCCCCACCCCACACCCCGCCCACATCCCTGGTTCCCTTCCTCCCCCCACCCCCCTCCTCAGAGGCGAGCTCCCCTCCACCCCACCCCTCTGCACCTGCAGTCCGGTCTGCACTTGGAATCGTGCTGCCCACCCACCTCACAGCCTCCCTGGGCCTCGGTGGGTCCATCTGCTTAGTGGGGTGCGGGGCGCTGGACCGGGGTGAGCACTGCTGTTCCGGTCCTGGAGCCCAGCTCCCTGCCCCCACCCCAAACTGAACTATCTGAGAAAAGAGGAGCCAGCTCGTTTAAGAATGAACAGTTGTTCCTCGCTCACAGAACCCTATACTCTGGCTGTTACAGCTCATTACTAAATCTCGGCCGTGCCCTGAGAAGGATTAAGGAACCGGCTCTGGTGAAAATCCCTAGCAGAAATAACATGCTCCCGCCACAGGGAGCCCTGGAAATTTGACTGCAGTAATCCTGGTAATCCTCTCCTGGCCCTCGCATTCCGGCGTCTGCACCCCAACAGGGGCGGCCGCTTGTGGGCGCTTGCCTCTGCCCGGTTGGCAAAAGGAGGACCCGAGGCCGCAGCCTTCCGACGCTCGCGCAGCACTTCGGCCGCCCGGTTGCCGGGGAAGCTTTGTTAGGTTGACTTGCCCGAGGAAGGAACCTGAGTCCAGACAGCCAGAGGCCTTGCTGCCCCGCCCAGAACCTGCTGGTGACTCCGGCAGGTCAGTGTCTCCCCACCCCCCCCAACTCTCAGTTTTTCCATTTGAAAAATGCAGTTAGTATTCGTCTTTGCAGAGGTTCACTCACAGAGAACACCTTTACCCTGTGTCCACCCTAGCAGGGGCCTGGGGCCTCAGCCTTGGTGTGGCTGCTGGTCTGTGGGCAAGATGGGCAGGGTGGGGGAGCAGTGAGGGCCAGAGGACAATGCCAGGTGTGTGTGGCAGGGGCCACATGAGCACAAAACCTGAGGCTTGCAGCCAGCATGTGAGGGTTAGGGCAGGAGCAGATGCTCCCCGAGCTGCCTGACATCTGAGGCCATGAATGAACCAGCAGCTGGAGAGGCGGTGGTGGTTTGGGTCATGGGCAGTCATGGGTATTGTGGTCAAGTGCTTCGGTGTCAGTGTGACCTGGGTTTGAGGCCCGGCTCAAACTCAGTGACTTTGGCTGAGTGGTTCCACCTCTCTGAGCCTCACAGTTTTTTTCGGTTTGGTGGTGAAGACCACAGTGTGAAGCCCAATGCAGGGCTGAGCTCAGTCTGGGTAGAGGTGGCACCCCACACCCCTGAGTCCCCCAGGCTGGGCCCTCTGTCCCCTAGAAGAGCAGGACAAGGAGCTGAAGAAGAGGCAGGTGGCTTCCTGGGCTGGATGGAGGCTGGAGAAGAGCTAAATGTGCGGGTGACCCAGGTCTGCGGCTGAGCTAGGAAAACAAGGTGGCCCTCCCACCCCTCCCTCGGCCCCGGTGAGTCCAGCCCCCAGAAAGCCCGTGGTGCAGGTCCAGCTGGGCCTCCACCCTTCCTCAGGGAGGCCTTGGCCCCTCGGCCTGAGGTTCTACACACTCACCCCATCCCTGGGGACACACCTCACTCCAAACCGAAACTCAAACATATTTCCCAGGGGCCTGGGCTGGCTAGTGGGTTCCAAATGGCCCTACTACTCTCTGCAGCCAGGACTCAGGCCCCTCGTATGGTAGCGAGAGCTTCCAGCTGCCGGACGGGAGCCCAGGCAGGGGCCAGGATGAAAGCCACATCGCACCTAGCTCGGTGGGCATCACCAGGGAAGTTCTTTCTCCTTTCTGGGTCTCAGCTTCCATATCTGTGTAATGGGCAAGTAAGAGATCTCTGAGGTCCCTTTACAGGTCATTACAGCCGTTGTGCTCTGTGGCCCAGAAAGGGGAAGGGAGCCCAGGGAGAGCTGAGACTAGAGCCCAGGCATCTGACCCAGGCCGGGGCTCTAGGACCAGGAGGGCGAGCAGAGGGAGGGCCCTGAATGATGTGCTGTGAGTCCTGAGACTGTGAAGAGGAGCCAAGAGCTCAGGGCTATGGGTGCAGCCCCTAGCTCCCCCTATATGCCCCACCAACATGTCTCCCCTCCAAACACAAACTGGGGCAGGCACCGGGTCAGGGAAGAGAGGAACAGATAATTTAGAGAGAATCTACCTCTGACCCTGATCAGCTATGTGACCTCAGGCAAGTCACTTCACCCATCTGTACCTCAGTTTCCTCAGTAAAGTGGAGGCCCTGAAATCTACCTCCCTGGGCTTCGCAGGAGTGACATGAACTTGGTGTGCGGAGGGCTCGGCCCGGATCCAGCACTCACTAAGTGCCAACGCTCACTCCCTGTCTTGGGGCCTCTCCCCCTCCTCCTGTGTCATCATCTGGCCTCCTGCTGGGCATCCACCCACCTCAGCTGCTTCTATTTTCTTCTCCTCTCTTTGGGCACATGCCCGTGCCTTCCAGCCTCCAGTCCTTTGCTGATGCTGCTCATTCTGCCAGAAATGCCTGTTCTCCCTCTCTCATCCCCACCGTTCCAAATCCTATCACCTTCACTGTTCATCAGCTCAAATGCCACCTCCTCCAGGAAGCTTCTTCTCCAAGGAGCTCTGTGCCCTAGACAAGAACACAGATGACAGGGCCACCACAAGGGGCTGCTCTCTACCCACAGTGGCTTCCTCTACCTTGGTCTGGGTCCAACTCAACACCCGTAGAGCATTTTCCTCCCCTGCTCCGCAGTACAGGAAAGTGCCCACTAGGTGGTGATAAAATGACATTCCCAGCGGGGAAGATTAAAAAAAAAAAAAGGGGAGCCCAATCCCTCCCTCATTCATTCATTTCTTCACCAAGTATTTACTAAGCACCTGCCGCGTGCAAGGCTGTAGCACGTCAGAGGTAAACAAAGCAACAAAGTCCCTAGTCTCGAGGCTCTTATGTTCTAGTGGAGAAGGGGGTAAGAGGGGGCAGACAAAAAAATAAGGAAATAGATGAAACAAGGAAACCCGAGGCAGCCATGAGGGCCGTAAAAAAAACTCTGGGGCCTGCTTGTATCCAGACCTATGAATGAGCATTTCTCCAACCAACAGCAGGATGGATAATCAAAGCATCACTTGAAGGCTCTCAGAGCCTGGCCAAGTCGGAAATCCCTAGCCCCTTGCTGTCCAAAATGCAGCTCGTGGACCAGAAGCGTCAGCATCACACAAAGGCTGCCTCAGAGTTGGGGGCGACAGTGCTGTGCCCAGCATGGGGGGGGGCGCGCTTTCCCATCTGCTGCCTCCTGCAGCCCTTCCCCGTGGCCTGGGAGGCAGCCACAGTCTCCTTGGCTCCCACCCTGCAGCTGCCTCCTGGCGGTTTGATGTTCAGGTGTCTCTGGGCCATGTGCCAGGACCGAGTCATTCTCTGCCTGAGTGGGTGGGGTGAGGGGGCTAGGTTACCAGGTCAGGCCTGGGGCACTGGGGTGGGACTCCGACCCAGAGGACCAAAGCTGGACCCTAGCCAGGGCTGGGGGCCAGTGGAGAGGAGAGTGGGGCAGGTCTCCAGGACAGCTGGCTGGGGCCCAGAGGATCACTGGGTCGGCTCCGGCCTTCAAAGCTTCAGACTTCAGAAGTCACGAGTGGGGATCGGGCCAGACTACCAGAACAGATGCCCAAGGGATAAGCAGACCCCCCTAAGCCAGGCTGCCTTCAGCCAAGACCCCTGAACACTGAACACCCCTGACCAAGGGCAGGGGGTGTTCAGGGCCTGGATCAGGGGAGGGGGCTTCGAGGAGCAAGTGCCACAGTTAATGGGAGGGAAGGCCGGTGGGGACAGGGCGGCAGGCAGTGCCCGACATGGCCGTGGCTTGGGCCTGTTACTTACCCTGGCCAAAGGAGTGAGGCTGAAAGTCCACCCCACTGTTCCTGTTTCCGGGACGCCCCTGGGGCCCCGCCACTGCACTTGGTGCACACCAACCACCATGGCAACAAAAGACTGTCCCCATTCTGTTGTTTGGAAACCAAGGATCAGACAGAAGATGTGCTTTGCCTGGTGTCACCCAGTCACTTTGCAACCAAAGCAGGGCTTCTGAGTCAACCTTGTTCTCACAAAGCCTCAGAAGTGACACAAGACACAAGCACTTAACCTCTGCTTCTAACGGGGACTTTGGATGTGTCCTTGCCTGTATCAACGCGCTACCGCTGCAGAACAAACAGCCCCACACTCCGAGGCTTAGAACAGCAGCCCTTCCCTGTCTCTCTGTCACAGAGGATTAGATAAGACAGCTCCACAGAGCAGAACACAACACAACATTCAGAAACAAACCCTAGGAACCTCCAGTTTAGGGTGTGATAACAGTAGAATTTCAAATCACTGGGGGAAAGATGGGTTATTTCATAAAAGGTATTGAACAACTTGCTGGCTGTCAGAAAAAAGTAGAGAGATCAACATCTGTATAAAAAATTAAACCATAAAAGCCCCAGGCCTACAAAGCATGAGAGATATGTTTTGTTTTGTTTTGTTTTGTTTCTAACTCAACCCCATGTGAAGAAGCTTTTTATAGGTGTGGCAGTTTTAGATCATGGCCCCCAAATTCTTCCACACTCTTCCCACGAAGAGGCGGCACCATGCCCCTCCCGGAAGCTGGCTCTGTGACCGTGTGACCAATGGGATATGGCGGGAGTGACGCAGCACTATTTCCAGGCTCAGGGCTTAAGAGACTGACAGCTTCCCCTTTCTGTCCCTTGGAATGGCCCAGGCTTGGAGCCCAGGCGCCAGGTGGTGAGGAAGCCCAGGCCATACACAGAGGTCCCACGTAGGTATTTGCTCAGGCCAGCAGCCCAACATCGACCTTCAACCTTTGAGTGAAGAAGCCTGCGCTGGACTCCAGCCCCAACCACCATCTGACTACACAACCTGGAAGCGTCTGAGCAAGAACCTGGAGCTGAGCCCAGCCAGCCTCCAGAACTGTAAGAGATGGTAACACAATGGTTGCTGTTGCTTTAAGCCTCTGTGTTCTAGAAGCCTTCATTATGCAGTAACAGATGCCTGATACACCACCAGTAAGTGCAGCCAACCCGAGAAGCCATTAGAATAAAAAATTTCTGCATTAAAAATAATCAACAAGGTCAACAAACAAACCAGGAAAAAGACCATATTTGCAACTTCTATTTACAGACAAAGGGCTTGTTCTCCACTGTACAAATAGTTCCTACAAATCATCAAGCCAGGGATGCCCCCAACGCACTTGACCAGGCAAAGGGCATCAATCATAGTTTCCAGTTTATAGTAATGTAGTCTATAGACATGAAAATGGCCCTTAAATGAATAAAAAGTGCTGAACTGGGCTCAAAAGAAAACCACAAATTAAAATTGCAAGAATATACCATTTAAAAAACAATACCCTGGAGAAATATGTGCTTTCACACATTACTGGTAGGAGTGTAAACTGAACAACTTCCTTTCTTTTTTTTCATCATTGCCTTTTTTTCCCTTTTTATTGTTGTTCATGTGAAGTAGTCTCCCTTTCCCCTGCCCACTCCCCATGCATCCCCACCTCCCACCCTTGACCCTACCCCCTCTGGCTTTGTCCATGCGTTCTTTACACCTTGAACTATTTCTATGAGAAGCATTTTATCTGTATCTATGAAAATTCATAGTGCACATGCTTTTTGACCCAGCAATTCTGCTTCTGGGAATTTATCTTGCAGATGTATTTACACATGCGCAAACCAACATCTGCCAAAGACTCATCCTTGCAGTGCCATAATTGTAATGATGGAAATGACCCGAGTGTTCATGCGTAGGGACGGTGCGTTATTCACTCCCCCAGTGAAATGCTCTGCATCGATACAAAGAGGTACCACTCTGCACACTTCAGTGAGAAAACTGGGAAATACAAAGTGTATGTGCTTCCATTTATGTGCAAATGTGTGCGTGTGTGTGAAGCACCTCTGAAAAATGTGGCTGCCCTGGGGAGAGGGCCTGAGTGGGGGAGAGACAGGGTAGGAGGGAAAGGATTTTCACCTTGCACCCTTGGGAATGCGTAGCTCATTCACTTATTATCTATTTCAAAAACTAAGAAAACATTCACTTAAAAATAGTACCAGAATAACTAGTTAACCATCTGGAAAACAGTAAGAACAGCCCCACCTCAAACCGTATGCACAAAAAGTTTCAAGTGGAGCCAAGATTTAAATGTCAAAGTGAAATTATAAAAGTCCCACAAAAACTTCTTTTTCTACTGTCATTCTGAATTTTTGTACACTGCACATTTCAAGTCCCCTGCCGGACCTGACCCTGATCTTCACCCAGTCGCCCAGGTGTCTCCCAGGCTGCCACTTCCAAGCCTATGTATGACTCTGGAACAGCAGCCCCAGCCCCCGCCTGTCACTGACCTTCAGACTCTAAACCACCCCCTCCCAGGCCCCTCCCCCTGAGCACCCTGAACAGCCGGAAACTCAGCCCCTGCCCAGCTGAACTCAGCTGCCTTCTCCACTACCCCCAATGCCTGCACACCCCCTGGATATCCACCAAAGTGACAGCCTCCTCCAAGAGTCCTCCCCAAGCCAATGCCTAAAAGTCGTCCCTCACCTGTCCCCTTCACATCCTGCTACAGACCAAATGTTTGTGTTCCTTCCCCAATAAAAATTCAGATATTGACTTTGTGATGATATTAGTGGGAGGGCTCTTTGGGAGGTGGTTGGGCCCTCATGAATGAGATTAGTACACCAATAAACGAGGCCCCAGAGAGTTCTCTTGTCCCTTCCACCAGGCAGGGACACTGAGGAGACAGCCCTCTGCAAGCCAGGAAGGGAGCTCTCACTTGGAACTGAATCTGTGAGAAATAACATCTGTCTTTAAGCCACCCGGTCTGTGGCATTTTGTTGCAGCAGCCCCAATAGATTAAGACACCTCCCCGCTCCCACGGGCTTGCACAGGGGTTAAGAGCTTGGGTCTGGAGTCAGGGTGCCAGGCTTGAATCTAAGGTTTGCCTCTTATGAGCTGTGTGACTTTAATTAAATAAGTGCTCTCACCTCTCTAGTCCTCAGCTTCCTCGTCTGTGAAGTGGGAAGAGTAACAGTACGTGACACGTTTAAATTGTAGTGAGCTATTACTTCTAGTTCTTAGCACAGTGCCTGGAACTTGCTAAGAGCTCCCTAAATCTTAGCTATGAATTAGATGATCAGCTTTACCCGGTGAAAGCCAGGCCAGACTTCTGACTCCTCTTGAGATAAGACCCTCCCCCTCCCAACCCCTCACCCAGTCCCTCCTCCTCTGCCCGAGGCTGGCTCCACATTCTGGCTCTGCCCATCATCCATTAGCACTTTCGGGCACCAGCAGGGTGCTTTGCTTTGGGGCAGGGGACCCACCGATGTGTCACGCCCCCTTCTGCTCTTGGTGGACAAGTTTTCCCTGTGTCCTCATCTGTCCTGGTGTGTGGGAGGAGCTGGGCCCAGTTGCCTCTCCTGATTAACAGAGGTTGGGGCCTGAAAAACATCTCACTGTGTCAATGTTTGAGGTATTTCAAAAAGTGTCCCTGCGGTGGCCTAGCGGTGCAGATGACGGTGTGTGGGTATGACATTTATTAATGTGTTACTTTAAGAGAGGGAGATGGCAAAGTGGAGCACTGGCCTGGATTCTGGGTGACCTGGGGCGCCAGCTCTGGCCTCTCCTGAAACTTGCTGTGCAGCCCTAAGCTGAAGATGTCACCTCTCGTATCTGTCTCTGTTTCCTGTCTGGGCCTGGAGGAGGCAGAATGGATTAAAATAAACTGAGCTGAGGAGAGACCACCAGGCAGGGCTTTTGCCCTCACGGTGCTCCCAGGCCTGGGAGCAAGCGCAGGAACAGCCTCCAGCAGAGAGAAAGGCAGCAAAGCTGAGGGACAGGCCTGGGCCCTCCCACTTGTCCTGAGACTGGCTTCAGCATCTGCATTTCTGCCCAACTCCAGGCTCTGGGGGACCAGCGTGTGGGTTTCCTAGGATGTGGTACTGGTTGCTAAGCACCTACTGTGTTATCTGCTATCGTAAGCACTGTACATAGTTCATCCTCTCAAGAAGCCATGAGTCAAGCAGGTACTACTCATTGTACACGTGAGGAAACTGAGCCACACAGAAGTTTAATGACTTGTTGCTGATACGCAGCAGAGCTGGGAAAACCAGACAGTCTGGGTTCAGAGCTTGAGCTCCTCACAGCTCTCCTCCACCACCTCTGTGCTTGATGGACACCTAACAGCCCGGGGCCCATGCACATGTTGCTTGTTTAATAATAATCATGGTATGAGCAGAGGTAACTGCTCATAACCGTATTGTGTAGCTGCAGACTGAGGCTTAGGAAGAATATGAGCTGTCCGAGACCACGCAGTTTGCAAATGGACACAGATTCAGACCCAGTCCCATCTGACTGAAAACTCCTGGTCGTCCCATGACTCCGCAAGGCCCCACCCAGCACCTTGGCCCTTGCCCTACTCTTGACCTGCCAGTCACCTGGTGACAAGCAAGTTGGGCGGCCCATGACCAATTAAACACCACCCCCCAACTGTGGGTTTCATATGGAGAATTGCAGCAAGTGTTAAAGAGGCTGTTGCTGGATTCAGAGGCCCTGATCCGGCCTTCTGTGTTCACGCCTTCTGTGTTAGGCCAGGGTCAGAGCCCAGTTGAGCTACCAAAGGTCCCTGCTGAGAACAGTGGGACCATGATAGAACAGACCTGGGAACGTAGTCAGGGCACTTGGGCCCTAGAAATACGGACAGTCCCTGCCAACATCCCCGGCCCAGGAACAGACACACTGACCGCTGTAGGCACCCGGAAAGACGCTCCGAGTCACTCACACAGGACTCTGGGTCCCTTTACCCACTCCAGCCTCCAGGCACCCCTGTCAGTCCCCGAGCTCCTGGGGCAATGAGTGCTCACAGGGAGGCCTGGGGTCAAAGGGCCCCAGAACCAGTTCCAGCTCCATTAAGGCTGGATGGCATACCCACCCCGGCTAGAGGTGCCCACTGCCCGTGCAGGAACGCGCACTCACTCGCCCCGCCCACATCCGCCCCGCCCCCTCCAGCCCCCGCCCGCTCTTTCCGAGTCCCCGCCCCTAGATTGAGTACAGCTTCCGGCCCGCGGGGTCCGAGTCAGTGTCCAGCGGGAACAGGTCGGATGAGGCCAGTGCGACTCATGAAGGTGTTCGTCACTTGCAGGATTTCTCCCGAGGGCAGTGCAGCGCTCGCCCGGGCCACCGAGTAAGAGCCCGACGCCCCTTGCCTCTCCGCATGCCGAGCCTCCCTGCACCGCCGGCGTGGGGCTGGAGTGGTGTCGGGGAAGGGGCTGCGGAACCCCAGGCACCTTCCCGGGATCTGGGGCACCCCCGCACGCAGGGTGTCTCAGCGTCTCCGGGAGCTACTTTGGGGGCGCCCGGGAGGGCGAGCTGGGGGCGTTCTCCAGAGGCCCTCGTCACTCTAGGTGGGGAGAACCGGGCCTTCAGAGGGTCACGAGAGAGCCAGCATTCTGCTTTTGGGCCTTGACTGGGCTTTCCAACCTGAGCCCGGTCGGGACGGTCTTGGTGTTTGGGGGAGGCTTAGAGAAAGTTCTATGGGGCCTAGCTTTCTCCAGGCCCGTTGCAGGGACGCGTGAGTCTGCACTTCCCCTGCTGCTTGCATTGGGGGTGAGGAGAAAGGGCTGGCTGGAACTCCTCCCAGTGGGCTAGGGCCAGAGGGAAAACCCGCTCAGGAAGCAATGTCCGGGCTGTTAATCCTTTAACTTATAAGGTCACTCGGCAAAGTCAGGAACCTTGGCAGTCACCAGTCTGGTCCTTCACACGGTGGGCAGGGGCCTTTGGTGGCACCTCTTAAATCGAACCTTGCGTGCCAACCTTGCCAAGTGTTTTATATACATAAACTCTTTTGACCTTTGCAACACTTTGAAGTTGTACTGTAATTCCCATTTTAGAGATGAGGAAACTGAGGCTGGAAGAGGTTAAGTACGTTGCCCAAAGTCATACAGCTCTGCATGTGGCAAGGCTGGGATTTGAACTCAGTCTGTCTGACTGCAGTGTGAACACTGCATTATACAGGTCTGCACTGCCTACAACCAGGCAGAAGGTGGAACCCAACCTCAGAGATTTGCTCATTTGTTCAGTGCAACAAAATCTTTGCTGAGGACTTGTCCGTACTCAGCATTGAGGGGGAAGAGGGGAAGGCAGAAACAATGGCAGTAATGGCAGTAGCACAGCCCAGCACCATGCTCATGGAAAGGAGGATAAAAGGTGACCTGGGGCGCGGCTCGGTTGCCCACATGCTGCAGCAGGGTGTTCTGGGACACAGGTGCCGGCAGCTGTCCTGTGTTGGGCACATGTAGATGCTCCATCTGTGTTGGCTTCACTGAATTAAGTGTTCAGGGCTGGGAGACTGGGCAGCACCCATGAGGAGACACTCAGCCCATAACTGCACCCTTCGTGTTGCATGGCTTTCTTCGATCATGTCCTTTCTGGCCAAGTCCAAGTATGAGTTTTCCATTTCATGGACTCACAGAACAGGACAGGACATGCAACAGGACATGGAATCCAATCCCATTTGCTGCAGGAACCTCCACCCCCTGCCCCCACCTGGCCCCAGGGAGCGGAGGAGGGTGAGAAAGCTGTCCTGTGTTGAGATGAGGTGTCCTCATGACTTCCCTTTTAGGGTAGGCCCTTGTCAGCCCTCTGTGTGCTGTGAGAAAACTTCACCCTCCAGCCACCCTGTCAGGACAGTTCTTTTTTTTTTTTTTTTTTTAATAAGTATTTTATTTACTTACTTTTAGAGAGAGGGGAAAGAAATGAGAAAGGGAGAGAAACATCAGTGTGTGAAACATACATCAGTTGCCTCCTGCATGTGCCCTAACCTGGAACCAAACTGGTGACCTTTCTGTCCAAAGGCCAGTGCTCAATCCACTGAGCCACACCAGCCAGGGCTCAGGACAGTTCTGAAGTCGTCTGTACATGACCCTGACTCCCCTCAGCCAGTTTCAGGCAGTCTGAGGCCCGTAAGCAGAAGGCAATGTTTCTTACTCTGAGCTGAGGGCTGCAGATGAGGCTGGGGGACTTTGGGCACCTGGGAGGATCTACAGGGCTGCCCTGCTTAAGTGGTCTTTCCTTTGCCTCAGCTGCAAGGTGGAGCAATGGGATTCAGATGAGCCCATCTCCAACAAGGAGCTGGAGCGAGGCGTGGCCGGGGCACATGGCCTGCTTTGCATCCTCAGTGAACGCATAGACAAAAGGCTCCTGGATATCGCAGGTGTGTGCATTGGGAAGGTCTGGGTGGTGTCTTGGCCTGTAGGCCATGTCCGCCTGCCGCTACTGGTTCCCCCAAGCAGATCAGCAGTGACCTCTCTGCATCCTGAGGGCACTGGCTGCAGGTTGGCCAGAGGGAGCAGTTGTATGTAGCTCCATCGCTACATGCATGGCTGCTCTCTCTTGCTGGTGACTCCCTAGAGGGAGACTTTAGAGGGGCAAAGACCATGCATGGAGGCAGTAAGGTGTGCGGGAGAGCATTTTAAGGTCCCGGGCCCTTGTCTGGTCCTGCCACAGCCTTGGTTTCTGACCTCCAGCAAGGAAGGCCCTGCCCCTCTGGACCCATCTAGAGCAATGGTCCCCAACCTTTTTTGGCATCAGGGACAGAATCATGGAAGACAATTTTTCCACAGACCTGGGTCGGGGGGTTGATGCGGGAGACAGGAGGTGGAGCTCAGGCTATAATGCAGGTGAAACTTTGCTCCCCGGCCTGCTGCTCACCTCCTGCTGTGCAGCCCAGTTCTTAACGGGCCACAGATCAGTACCCGTCCACGGCCAGGGGCTTAGGGACCCCTGATCTACACCATGTGGGAGGGTTTGAACCTCACAAGGAAAGGTAAGAATGATGCTTTTTCTACACAACAGGAGCCAATCTCAAAGTCATCAGTACAATGTCTGTGGGTGTTGACCACTTGGCTTTGGATGAAATCAAGAAGCGGTAAATGCAGCATGGGCTCTAGAAGGGGGCCTGGGGTGTGAGGGGTGACCAGCAGAGATGGAGGAGGAGGAGCTGAGTCCTCATTTGTTTTTATTTTGTATTCCTAACTATTCAGTGGGAATGTGAAGTGGCTGATGATAAAGTCTGTCTATATGTACACAGGCACTTAAAATAAGCCTAGGTCAGAAACAGGGCGGGTACGTGTCTGGCCAAGTAGCACCCCTCTATATTCGTTATCTTTTTTGACCCCCGACAATAACCCCTTGAAGTAGAAAAGGCAAGTATTATTATTTCCCTCTTTAAATGAGGACATTCAGAAAGGTTAAGTAGTTACTTGCCCCAGACTTCAGATCCTGGTCTCCCATCTTCCGAAAGTGGGAGATCATCAAAATGGAATGAGGGCTGACAGTTACTCAGTGCTCATTTGTAGCTCTAAGCTTCCTGGCAGGCAGGGCAAAGAGGAAACAAAGCAGCGCCATGGGAATGTCCCGGTGATAGAAATTGGTGAAGGTGCTTGAAGCCAGTGTTACTTCCAGATGCTTGATTCGTAGTGGGATCCGTGTGGGCTACACCCCAGATGTCCTGACAGATGCCACTGCAGAACTCGCTGTCGCCCTGCTGCTCACCACCTGTCGCCGGCTGCCGGAAGCCATTGAAGAAGTGAAGAAGTAAGTCAACACCTGGCTCTGCTCAGCAGCTGGCTTCTGAGTGCCCAGTGTCATGCTGGCCCAGATGTGATCCCTGTCCCCAGATATGCCCCATCTAGTGAGGGGGGACAGACTTAGCCACAGTACTACAGTACAAGGCAGAGTTGAAATAAACAGGGCAGGAAAGCAAATTGTGAGAGAAGAGGACAAGGGAAGTGAGGAGGTGGGGGAGGAGTGTGGATCCGGGAAGGCTTCATAGAGGAGGCAGCAGGTGGAGCCCCATTCCTCACACCTGGTGCAAAAATACAAAGGCTCTGACAACTGAAGGTTGTTTCATGAATCTTTTGGCAGCAAAACTTGAACTAACAAGAGGCTGCTTAGTGGTTTTAATTTCTCCAAATCAGTGTGAATGTTTGTGTCTCGCAGATACACCAGGGTGCTGGGTACGGTGCACCACCCCACATGCTGCTGAGGGGGTTATATAGAACATAGCGTGTGCGTTTCTGAAATCTGGCTTGCGGGTTTGGGATCAGGAATTTGGATCTGCTTATCCAGAGCCAGGGGAGGCATTCCAGGTGCAGGGCCTGGCCTGAGTAAAAGCAGTCCCCCCTCTGAGAATGCAGACCAGGAGCACGCTGGGAGCATGGCTGTGGGCAGCCCAGGGGCAGAGCTGGACAGCATTGTGGGGTTGATTAGATATGGTGCTGAAAATCCCACTCACCCTTCTACCTGGGGTGGGGGTTAGGGTCTGTACCTTCAATGGAGGTGACTCAAGACTGGCTCTGTTCCCCTGCCCACCCAGGCAACAGGGGCTGGGCCCGTGGCTTTACATGTTGTTGGTTAGATCCTGAGATCTGGGTCCCCAGCGGCTTTAAAGGGAGAGTCACTCCTGCTGCTTGTCCATAGCGCTTAGTGGCCCTGGGTACGGCTTATGCCTCTGTCGGAAGCTGAGCGGCACCGGTCCCTTGGCACAGTCGGGATGCGTGATATGCATCTGCACAGCAGAGGCAACTGTGGCTGGATTTCCTGTCTGTCTCTCCCTTGCATGTTTGTTTTTGTGATTAATAGGTGGTGGGATTTCTAGACACCTGCATTTCAAGCCCAGTGATCCACATAATTCCAGTGAAGTTGTACAAAATAATTTCTTGGCTAGAGAACAAAGTTCCCCCCTAATGAAGTAGCCCCTGAATAGCTAAAAGTTGATGGATAACAGCCCCTTCTCTACCTTGGACAGGAATATATATTAATTAATTCCAGACAGGTAAAGAAGCAGGAGAAGCTGGTTAACTATTATAAACTAAGCATGTAGAAACAATTACCAAGGAGTCAGAGTCCATATTACATAAAGTAACATTTTAAACAGAAAGATAGATAGCTAAGTTAGACATCACAAAGGCCTCATAAATTTTCTAGCACCTCCGCTCAGTCTAGCGTATCCTTTTGCCCCATGCCAAATTCTAAGAACTTTAATAAACAATAAGACATTTAAACTCTGTACATACAGCTATTTCTAATTGTCTGATTAATGGCTTTCCTGGTCAAAACAACCTTTGTTTAACATAACTGAAACTATGGAAATTCTTGTACTTTTCCTGGTTACCTCTGTATTTGTTTTTTCTGCTTAACTGATCATGCCATGTACCTGTTCCTTTAATGTTATGTATCAATCTCTATAAAAATAAAGCCTAAATCAAACTCTGAGAGTTTGGTCAGACCCACAGAGGCTGGCTGTTCTCCAGCATCCAACCGAGTGTCTGACTCTTCGTTCATCGCCTGCATCTTCCATCCTTCAGGGACCCTGAGACCTGCCGAGGCCGGACCCTGGCACCTCTCAGTCCTTTGACCTGGAGGGCAGGGCCTCTTCCTGGGAACACAGCCGCTGCCTATGGGTGCTGGGTCTGTAAGTTTTCAGTGGGCCTCTCACCCTCCCTGTGTCCCTCCCCACAGTGGTGGCTGGACCACGTGGAAGCCCCTGTGGATGTGCGGCTATGGACTCTCGGGGAGCACCGTCGGCATCATCGGGCTGGGACGCATAGGTGAGGCCCTTACCTGCCCTCTGCCCATCCCAGGTCACGTGGTTTGGTTTAGGTCTCCAACGCCACGTGTCTGGAAGCCAACAGTCCTTTGGGAAGGGTTATCGCAGCTCTGCATGCAGTGGGTGTATCTCTAATGAGAAGATACAGCTTCATAAAATGTAGGCAAAAAGAAATAAAAAAGAAACACAGGAGTTTCTTAAGAGCTCACCTAGTGATGGAAGCAAGTTGCAAGAGCCAGGGTTCTTTATGATGGTGGCTCCACACAGAACAGGTACACAGGGGTGGCTGGGTTGAGGCCTGTCAGAGGGGTTTGCTGTGGGGAGACTGTGCTCCCCAAGACCTGGGTTCTAGAAGGCATTCGACTCATGCAGACGTAACTCAGGAACGAGAGGGTTCCCATGGGCCAAGCTCGCCTGCGATTCTGCAGATGGGGCGGAGCTGTTTTGCCTCCACTGGCCCCCACTTGGAGAAGCCTGGCATAATGGCCTGGGCTCAGCCAGGCAGCGGTCGGGTTCTCCGGCACCCTGTGTGGTGCGGAGGTGAGAGAAGGGCGTGGCGTGCGTGTGGCCTGTCTGGCCAGCTGGCGGCCCTGCCTCTTACGCTAGAGAGTTGCTTGGAGAAACCCACAAGCTTTGGGGCACGTGCGGAGTCTGAAAACCCAACTGCCCAGGCCTGTCTCAGGAACAGCAGTCATGACAAAGTCTTACAGATTTGCGGCAAGTTGGCAGTTTGACAGTACCACCAAAAAGTCATTGGGGGCCTGGGGCTTCATTAGCAGAAGCAGAAGGTCCCAGGAAGGTGGAAGGGGACTGTTTGGTCAGACCTCTTCTGGGATGCCAGTCCAGTTCGCAGGGAAGGTCAGCAAATGGGCCTCAAGGTGGCTGGGACCCTGTGGGGACAGCAGACAGCACAGGGGAGCTGCGGTGCTGTCTCCGGGTCTCTGAAGGGTTGTCACGTGGACCCCTGCAGGCGGTGTGGGCTGGCTGCGGGCTGGCTATACTGAGGCAGGACCAGTTCACGTTGGGACCGTGCTAATGAGAGCATCTGCCCCCTGCCCCCAGGGTCTCCCGGTCCCTGGAGCCACTGCCCCTGCTTTATGAGGGGTTGGGTCAAGCCGTGACTCCGATTCCTTGTCTCTAGGCCAGGCCATTGCTCGGCGTCTGAAACCATTTGGGGTCCAGAGATTTCTGTACACAGGGCGCCAGCCCAGGCCTCAGGAAGCAGCAGAATTCCAGGCCGAGTTTGGTGAGTAAAACCTTGATTTCCACAGGAGCCCAGCGTGTGCTCCATGATGGCCGAATTGGTGGGCAGAACACAGGGACTCCAGGTGTGTCCAGGGCCTGCCGTGTCCCTTAGTGTTATCCAGTCTACCTGCCTCTGGACAGAGGCCCACTCCGGGGACACAGGGACTTATCCAGGCCATGCAGCGAGTTCTCTTGGTGCCAGGAGAGCACTGCCTCAGAGTCCCTGTCCCCAGTGCACATGGTGCAGGCAGAGCAGCAGGGACGATGACAGAGGTAAGGAGCTGCTGGGAACTGCACTCAGTTTCCTGAAACTGGGGGTGGGCATTACTCACCCCCAGCCCCGGCCCAGGTGGATCCAGCCCTGGCAGGGTGCACGGCTCAGTACGCAGGACCGGCTGGATTCCAGCCATTCCTCACCACCCCCGGCCTGTTGGGCCCTGATGTTAGTGAAAGCCAGAGTGGCCCAGATCCCACTGTGTGACCCTGAGTAGTTCCTGACCCTTTCTGGCCTCAATCTCCCCATCTGTTAGACCAGGGGGCTGGGCGAATGGTGAAAAACACCAGGGTCCCACGAGTGGCTATCAGCTGTACAATTTCAAGTCGGGCGTGTCGAAACAGCGCCTCCAGGAAGCATCCGGGGAGTTTCCATTATGGGAGGGGGAGGAGGGATCCGGCCTCCTACCCTCTTGCTGTCTGTCACCGCACTGAGTGTTCGTCTGATGGGGCCCTGCTCTCCCTCAGTGTCCGTCCCCCAACTGGCTGCTGAGTCTGATTTCGTGGTTGTCTCCTGCTCCTTAACGCCTGCAACCAAGGGGCTCTGCACCAAGGACTTCTTCCAGCGGATGAAGAAAACAGCTGTGTTTGTCAACATCAGCAGGTATCCTGGGGCTGCCTGACATCCCTGGGTCCCCGGGCAAGCCTAGAGAGGGGCTGTCCCTGGTACTGCCATCTGAGGTTTTTCTCCCCCAAGGGTAGATGAGGAGCCCTCAGGCTGAGCTTGACGCTCCCCATAACCTCACAAACCAGCCACCTCAGAAATACAGTGAAGGCCGTGGAGAGTGTCCCAGCTGGGAGGAAGATCCGTGAGAGCAGGGCCTGGCCTGTCTGGAGCCCAGCAGTACCCGCAGCCTTGCTCAGGGTGGCCGGGCACATCACAGCGTGGGGTTAGGGAGTGAGGACGTGAGGGCATGAGGTTCGCAGGCATCCTTGGGCAGCCCCTGTTCCTCTGAACCACAAAGCATGGGACCTGACGACTTCACAGCCCTTCAGGGCTGACCGTCCATTGCACTGAACTTGAGTTTGTCTCTGTGAGTCAGTGACAGCTCACGACTTCGAGCTTCTGGGAAGCCAGACCCAGAACTCAAATTGCCTTGGTTCCTCAAAATGTCCCCAGGGTGCCTTCAGGCCACTGGGCATACGATGGGAACAGACCAACCTCTGTAAACCCTTCCTAGCTGGTGCCCTTTGAACCTGCTGAAATCAGTTTGGGGGCAAATAAAGGTGAGGGAAGAGTGTGGATGAGGTCACCCCCCCACACCCCGCCAAGGCCCTCCACCCCAGAGGTGCCTGTAATTACGGACGTTTAGCTACAAAGGGGGTGGCCTGGAGGTGAGTGAACACAGGGCTCCCGCTGATGGCTGACGGTGTGACGGCTTCTGTTTACCGAGCACCCACACGGTCCCAGAACTGTGCAGGCTGCTGTGTCACTTATTATTGTACAAGTTTATTTAGTGCCCAATGTGAAGTCCCCAGCAAGTTAATTCTTTACTTCGGTGGTTCCGTCATGGGAGGTCAGGCCGCTCACGCGGATGGATGTGGTCGGGTGTGTCACGTCTGCCCTTGGTCAGGCAGGTGACCAACAGCAGGCAGCCCTGCTTCTTGGCGGGTGGTCTGGGGAGCAGCCAGCTCAGAAGCACCTGGATGAGGTCTTGTTCATGCGTCGTACCTGTCTGACAGGTACAGCTTTAATCCTCCCGGCACCCCCAGGAGTTAGTAGGTTCCTCCTGTCTCACAGAGGAGGGACCGGAGACACAGCTAGAAAGGGCCAGAGTCGGGGTTCCCTCATTATAAGGCCTGCGTTGCTCTACAGACAGAAAGTAAGGACTGTAAGACTTACTGCTTTAGAATTCAGTGCCAAGTGCCAGGTTGGTGGGAAAACTCATTCTGTGCGTGGGTGGTTCTGCCCTAAAGGCAAGCCTCAGTGGAGGGAGGTGCGGGGCACCCACATCACTGCCTTCGTTCCCAGAGGAGATGTGGTCAACCAGGACGACCTGTACCAGGCCTTGGCCAGCGGTCAGATTGCAGCTGCTGGACTGGATGTGACGACCCCGGAACCACTGCCTACGAACCACCCTCTGCTGACCCTGAAGAACTGTGGTAAGAACTGAATTTTTGCCTTGCAGTCATCCGCTGCCTGGTGGGACCACAGTAGTTAGAGGTGGCCAGGAGATGCCGTGTAGAGCTACCTTGAGCAGCACAAACACAAAGGGACACACCCAGGGACCATAATGTTAATGCCATTAGAGGCACTGGTGCGTAACAACAGGGGCGGGGCCTCCTGAGCACGGCCTGCCTGGGTCTGTGTCCCTAATGGAGTGAATGGAGGTAGGGCCGAGTGGGTTTGTTTACAGAGAATGGGTTCACTGGGTGTCTTTTATCCGAAGCTGTCATGGGTAGGACCCATTAGTATACATTTGCTGTCACCACTTAAGTGTGGGAAGTCACAGGTGAAATTACAATGCTAATGTTTGTAACCTGGGCCAGTATTCAGCTGTTGCAAACCTGCCCCTGGGCGGTTTGCTCTGTGGTGCAGGGGCTGGTTCTCTAGTTTCTGCGGGGCCAAGGCAGCGGGACTGGGCTCCCTCCCACCTTCCCGTCTGTCCGTCTGTCCGAGTGCAGCCGCAGCAACACTTCTTCACTGGCTGCAGCTGTTCCCCCAAGGTGGCTAACAAATCCGGTTTGCAGTTTTCCCAATACGTGCTTAACCTAACCATTGTGCCCCCTCAGACGAGCCACAGCCAGGCAGTGTCCTGGCCACAGATGTCGGAGTTGCAGCTCCCAAGGGGCCCCCTTCAGTCTGCTCAGCGTGAACAATCCCACCCTTCCCCTCAGCCCCTGGTATTAGGGAGGGCGATGCCCCCGGCAGTCATTCTCTGTGATACCTACGGGCAGTAGTTCTCAAACTGTTGTGTTCCTCAGTCCCCTGGAAGGACAGGTCAGACACAGGGTGCTGGGCCCCGAGGTTTCTGCTGCAGTTGGTCTACCCTGCTCCCGCGCCAGTGCTGCTGGGCCTGGGACCACCCTTTGAGAACTACTGCCCTAGTGTTTTTAGCCTCCTGTTACCTAGTTAGCAACTCTATACCCTAAGTTCTTTATATTAAGGGCTCTCTGTTCAGGTAGTTGGTGTGGTTTCTCACACTAATATATAACTGGTTAGGGCAGTGGGCTGTCTGGGCCAGTGTCTGTCCTTTCTTTGTATTCTGCACTGGAAACCCGAACGGAAGGTCCTTAGCTGCCCTCCCTGAAATGAATGCTCCCATTCTTGTAGCCCTTGGAAGCTTTACTGTTCCCACCCCCACCCCAGCCAGAGAGGAACACTGGCTATGACGTCAGGCCCCTGACCACAGCCAGGAAAACTGCCCCCATCCCCCCAAGGCCTTGGAGTTCGGTTCAGTGCCCAGGTACTGCTTTCAAAAGGCACTCTTTGGAAGTGACCTCATTTGCTCTGCTGTGCTCTCTTGCGTTTCATCCTGTCATTATTTCTCCAGAGAGAAGCCCTGTGGCATCACTTTCAGGGGTGCAGGGTATGGACGAGCAGTTAAAATTGGCACCATTCACTAGCTGGTAACTGAAGGGCTAAGCTCTAGGTATGCCCCAAGGCCCCTTCAGGCTAATGTCCTTTCTTATACTCAGGATACAGCTCTCTCGTCTCCCCTGCTTCTGGGTGTCAGTAACCTGGGTTTCTCTTCCTGTCACTCTGACCCTCAGCCTCAGGGGAGTGCAGTGCTGAGGGACAAGAGGGAAGGCAAATCGAGGAATACCGAGGACGGCTCTCTGCTTCTCACTCGCAAGCCATAGCCATGAAAGCAGGGTCCACTTTGAGGCTCCTGAACCCCCTCTTACCTCCCTCTCTTCCTCTCCTTGCCAGTGATCCTGCCTCACATTGGCAGTGCCACCTACAGAACCCGAAACACCATGTCCATGTTGGCAGTTAACAACTTGCTGGCCGGCCTGAGAGGGGAGCCAATGCCCCGTGAACTCATGCTGTAGCCAGACAGGACACCGGAGGCCAGGCAGGCAATGCCCAGATGCTGTCAGGGGTGGCAGGCTTGACCCGGACCCACAGGGCGGGAGCCAAGCCTGGTCTGTACTGATGCTGCAGAAGGAAGACTGGAGCTGCTGGATGTGCTTGCCGCTTTCCTGGTTGGAAACCCTGGGGCAGAAAGTGTGTAACTATTAAATAATTCTCTGAGACTGTGTTGGCCTGTGACTGGGGGGAGCTAACGGTAAGGCATCTGCTTTTCAAACTCAGGGCATCTAGTGGCCTGCGCATTCAGCTTCCCACCTCCGTTCCCACCCCCTCGGATATTAAGTATGAGAACCTTTCCAGACCTTACTTCTCATCCTCTGCTCTCCTTCACACGTCTGGCCCCGAGAACAGGAAAACCATAGCCCAGTGGTGGCCGTGACACTAGAATCTGCTGCCTGGACCACTGGGGCAAATTAAATATACATGGCAAAGCGAACCGGGGAAGAATAACCGGAAGTGAGTTCCTTAATTTTTATCTTAAAATTTGCTTCAGCACCGCCACACTTTGCTCCCTTTGTCCATCTCAGCCCCAGCCCCAGCTGGATGTCCCTGTTCTAATCGCCACCTCACTCTTCCCCAGGGCCAGGCCGCAGCACCGCCACAGTCCTACTCCTGCTGAGGGAGCCAGGCCCAACTGGCACATGGAGTTTTCAGTCTGGGAGGCAAGGAGGAGAGCAGCAGAAGGCATGGGATTAAGCAATAAAACCAGGTGGGCTGGGAACAAAACCCCACACACGCCCACGGCCCAAAGACAAAGGGTGTGGGCGAGGCAGAGGGTACCAAACTGAGGGGAATGAGCAATAGTCATTACTGAGAGCTTTAGAGTATCTTCTACAAGACTTGATTTAAAAAAATATTCCGGTCAAAGCAGCATTAGCAGAGAAAGTAATACTATATCCCTTTATTTTTTTGTTTTAAAATTAACCTAAGTGCAGAAAAAGAACACATATTTAGTTAGATTATGAATGTGACAAATTTTTTATTTCAAAATCTCAAATTTTGATCAGGAGAGCACCACTGCCATAGATGCCCTGATAGAACTTTATGAGTTGATAACCAGAAATGATTATGCCAGGCTATAATTAAGGCTAATTGATCAAAATCCAGGTACCCAACACCAGTTGGAATTCAGGTAGAAACTGGGATCACAGGAGCCCCGCCGGGTTTCCCGGGGAGCCCCTGAACTACCGTGTAAGCACTACAGCTTGTGTGAGGACACCGGCCCGCACGCTTGCTTCTCTCACATGGACACTGACTGACTAAGAGGTAGATGAGCAATTCCAGACCCCACCTAGCAGAGGAAAGGCAGGGCTCCGGCCACGGTGCTGGAGACGGCCCCGAAGCAAAGTCCACTTAAGCCTGAGATGTGGTGGGGGGCAGCCTCCTGGCACCACCCCCTTCAGGTGGAAGGGAAGAAGGGCTGCCACCACTCTTCCTGGTGCCACTGGCTCTTCTCCCCAGGCTCGGGCAGGCCTCTTGTCGTCCCGCTGACCCACCTGTCTCCCACGGTCAATCTCACAAGACACTGGTCCCCGAGCCATGTAGATGGGTGGATGTGGAGCCTCCTCACATCGAGTCAAAACCCAACTGCTGACAATCAGCCACACACACCCCTGAATCTCACAGGTGACACCGTGTCCTCCAGTGGTCTCTCTCCCACCGCTGCTGGAAAGGAGAGGCGTCTGTTGTCCTCTCCTCCCTGGGACTGTTCGCAGGAAATGCTAAGCCAACTATGGACACTATGAGTTTATCCACAGACAGGTGTTCATCCATGGACAGTGTGTGAACTGTGCACACTAGACTGAGAGGAAAAAGGCTAATTTTTGTTTTAGGCTACACATATTTAGCTTTCTAAACAGAAGAACCAAAGGATTTCTCTCAATTATGCACAATCGTTGGCGTCTTAAAAAGCTGTATAAAAAATGAGCACATGGTCGTGCATGATTTAAACTGGCCTGGGGAGCTCTACGGAGACACAGTAACTTGTGCTGTTCCCAGGAAGCGCTCAGCCAGGGCTCAGCCTGACACAGGTGCCTCAGCAGCCCTGACGGCACGGGGTCGGATGGCTGCAAGGTGGGCTGGGGAGGTGAGGCAGTGGGACACGGAGAGGCCCTGGACAGTGACCCAAAGGTCTCTCCCAACAGTCTCGGAATCTACTTGGTGACTTCTAGTTCTGGGCAATCCAACCGTCTTATAAAGTCTGGAAAATAACATGAACACGGCTATGTTTGGATTACAAACACGCAGTACTGGGCCGGAACAACCACCAAAGTTCACATTCTATACTTCAGAGTATAAACAGTAATGACACCTGCGGGTTTTTGGTTAGCTTGTAACCGAAAAGAGCAATCTAGGCCCATACAGGGCGTGAGAGGGTGAAGAAGCAAAAGGAACAGGTGTGTCACTGGGTGAGCTGTGTCAGGCCAGACTGGCCCCCAAATCTGGACGGAGCAAAGGGTGAATGTGCTATGACAGATCCCACAAAACAGGACTCCACATCATCAGAACAAAGACAAACACTAGCTCTTTTCTGACTTCCAAACATGGAATTGGAACATGTATACGAGTTGGTTAAAATACTAAAACAGCACACACAGAAACAATATCTTACTTGTCACTCCCTACAAGTACACACTCCATTGACAACTTTGTTTTTAAAACCACAATAATTGTTAAAACATCTAACAGTGATGTTTTCAAAAGTATGTACACCCAACAGCCCAGAGAACGCTCACTCCGGACCCAGTGTCAGCACCATCAAAGCGCAGTGTCTGTGCCTACAAATCAGACAAAAATAAAAAAATACAGTACTTTTTGAGGCTGAGGACTTGCTCCTGATAGGCTTTAAAGCATCTGTGGCCCACAGGCATGTCGTCCTCAAGGGCCTTTTAGACGGGCACAAGGTTGCCACTGGTTATACATAAATGAGTTTTATATCACTGTACAGGTATATAATATCCCCATCAGAGGGTATAAGAAATTTAATTAAATGCTTCACAGAGTTTTACAAAAATTGCTAAAAAAGTTTTTTGCACTTTAATTTTTAATTTTTACATGTGCCACTTTTAACATCAATTATAAACTACTCTCTCACCGCATTACTCAACCCTAAGGAAGAACGTGCTTTGGAGGACTGCGTCCCTCTCTGAAAGCCTGTGTCGCACCCAGAAATGCAGCAGCACTCACACTATTAGTTCTCCCCCGAGTCCTGGAAATCTGCAAGTGCCATCGGACAGCCTGAAACCACAAGCCCAGGGGCATTAGCCCTTAACCAAAACATATTTTCGTTTCGGCCCTACAACCGGCATCGGCATGATCTCAAGAGGTCAGGGTTACAGCAAAGTGCTTGGAAGACTGCTGCTCTGCCAGCGCAGGCACGTAGTCTTAGAATGTTTGTACAGGTGGCTGGACTGACTGAACCTCTTGCCACACTTCAGGCAGGCGTAGGGTTTTTCCCCTGTGTGAACACGGATGTGCTTCTTGCAATCTGTCAAGGTTAAAAAAGTCTTGCAGCAGATTTTACAGGCATACTTTCGAGCTCCCTCCACAACCAAGACATTGTGCTCTGATAAAGCCTTCTTGCACTTTGACAGGACGTCAGCAGATGCCCTGGTCAACTGTGGAGGGCCTGGCTGGGAAGGGTGCCCATTTTCAAATGAGGATGTGGCCCCATTCATCAATAGCTGGGAACTGGGAGAGTTTTCTGGTATCTGTGAGCTCCTGACAGAAGTTACAATTGGCATTTTGGGAGCTATACGGCGGTAGTATGGAAAGTTACTGGCCTTTCCTCTTGAGGAACCCATCATTACCCTGGAGAAGGAGGAGTGGAGGCCCAAACCAGACCTGGAAAAATCCATGCCGAACTGTTCTCCTTGATAGCCTGATGTCTGCACACATGGCAGGCCCATTGCTTCCTGCATAGGCCTAACGAAATGGGAGTCTGCAGGATCACTGAATGGGTTTTCTACATGGGAGCCAGGGGCCGAGGAGGGCCCACCCGCAGGCCCAGCCTCTGGACTCAACAAGTATGGGGCCTCACACTCCAGCCTGCAGTCACTAGTGGTGTTTGGGATATTATCGTCATTGTTCTGATTGGCACTAAAGTTACTTCCTCTGCTCTTGTTAAGAAAATTTGAAATGCTAAAAGTGGACTTATGATCTAAGTTATTTGTGACTTCCAAAATATGGATATCGCCTACCCTGTCAGTGCTAGACTGGGGATCTGAAAAGCTCCGATCACTGCTTTCAGGGCTGAGGTCTATCTTCTCAGCACTGACCACAACTCCCTCCACCTCCACAGATTCACTGCCTTCTGCCTGGGAGGTCACATCGCTCACCTCATCCTGAGGTTCAGGAGAGCTCAAGGGCTCCGATTTAACCACTACTCTCATGTGCTCCTTCTCACCAAGGCCGACCTCAGGATTTTCACACTGAAAGCCACTTTTCTCAGTTGCAGCTTCCTGCTCAAAACTAGTCTCAACCTGAGTTGCGCGAGAAGCCATGGACAACTGCGCCATGTTGCTGACGCTGTTGTCGGACTGGCTAGGCACCTGGGCATCTTCTTGAGCACCAAAAGACTGGTCAAATATGATGGCACTGTCCTCCTGGTTGTCAGTCATCCCGTCGGCCTTAGGGTTATCCACAATTTTCAGAGAATCTGGTGAGAAGAATTCCTCTCGAGAACGAACCCCCGAAGGCCCATTCTCTGGTGTAACATTGGAAATGGCAGACTCATCCATGGTGGGTCGGAGGCGCTGCCTGGCCCGTTCCTCTGCGGACTGCTTGCGCTTATGAAGGCGTCTCATGGGGAACGGTGTCCGCTGATCCAGGTTACTGCGCATCGACGAGCTCAGGGGGGCCTGCTGCTCCTCACCACTCTGGTTCGGATTGAGGGCTGAGCTCACAATGCTTAGTCCCAGCTGCTGCAGCATAAAGAAGCGCTGCATGCGGGCGCTCTGTTCCTGAACACGCTCACTGGGGGGAGACATGGGCAGTGTCCTTGTCGTTAAGTAATGTTTACATGCCTTAACAACAGAGTTCAAATGCAGGTGAGAGGCTGCCAATAAGACATCCATAACATTGCTCTCCCCCAGCATGAGGGTAGAGGTATACATCATGTCAATCAGTGCGGCAAAGGCCTCTGCTGTCACTACCTCGCTATCCAGTTGGATCATGTTCATGGTCTGATCTCCCTCTGCCACTGAGAACAGGGCTCGGAAATGCGTGCTGCAGGCTGCCAGTACAGAGCGGTGGGCTTTAAAATGTCTGTTTCCCACTACGATGACACAATCACAGAGCTGGCCATGAAGTCTTTGGTAGTTCAGTTGCTGGAAGATCTGTTCAAAGTGTCCAGGAAAATCCATGATCCTATGGGAAATGAAAGTATTAAGACATAAAAAAGCTGAAGACAAAACCAGAGCACAGAGGGTGTGATGAAGAGAAAGCTATGGAGGGCCAAGCGTGGATCTTTAAAAGCTTGTGATGTTTTTGGTAATGGGCACATAGACTAAAAACCTGTCAAACAAGGAGCAAATGCTGACTCAACTTCAGCCCTGGAAGCATGCACACATGTGGGGTCAGCTACTGGTTGTTAACAGGCTCCCCTTCACCTTCCCATGACCCACTTTTAACATGCAGAGCCCCTTTTAGAAAAGACCAACTTGTGCACGATAGAGTATCTATCCCTCGGAAGTTAATTGGAGTTCTACATTCCTTAAGGACAATGAGCACATTCCAGAGTCTTTAAGTCACCTTAAATAAGTGAAAAGGGTAAGTCAGTATTAGTGAAGAAGATTTCTAGTTGTAAATGGTAGTAGATTGCACACATGTATTTACCTCCCCACCACACATGCTTATTTCTGAAACTCCATTAAAAATACACTAAAGTTTTTTTGGTTTTGGTTTTGTTTTGAAAGTATAAACCCACAAGGAAAAAAAGAATGAGAAATAAGAATCAGTAGCATTTTGGAAGCTGGAGAACAGGTAAATGAATGACTGACAACTGACTAACATACCCAGAAAGCTAAATCCTAAACTGGCAGTGGGTAAAACATCCTGACTTTGATACAAGCTCCCCACCCACACAAAGACTCAGGAACTGGTTGCTGAGATGCCAAGGGAAGTGGAATGGAGGTGATACTAAGACAGGTGGACTAGATGGAAATCCTTTCAATAAAAAACAGTGCAATAAAAGCTCGTGTCTGTGGCAGAGAAAAGGCATGTAAGTCTATAGAAATAGAAAGATTAGCTGTTATCCGGGGCTAGGAATAGGATGCAGGACTGCAAATGGGAAGAGGGAATTTTGCGGGTGCTGGGGGGTGGGGGGGTGGAAATGTTCTAAAATTGAATTGTGGTGATGACTGTACAAATCATAATTTTCTAAAAATATTTGAATTGTATACTTAAAACAAGGAATTTTATGGTATGTACATTATACCTTAATACAGCTCAATAAATTATACCTCAGTAAAAAACTAATGGGGAAAGAAAAACAAGAGATAAACAATCCAGATGGGGGGATCTTTTATGTCCAGAGGGGGACATAAAAGACTAACTTTCTAAATAAATAGCATTTCAACCCAGCCCACTAATTTACTTATTTATTTAAAAAAATTTTTTAATCTTTACCCAAGAACATTTTTTTGTTGTTGTTGCTTTTAGAGAGAGAGGAAGGGGGAGGATAAGAGAGAGAAACATTGGTTGATTGCCTTCTTGTAAGAGCTCCGACCAGGGACCGAACCCACAACCTGGATACGTGCTCTGACCGGGAATCGAAACTGCTGCCTTTCCGTACCATGGGACAGTGCTCAAACAACCAAGCCACAACAGCCAGGGCTGTAAGCACAGCAATTTAAAAGGATGATATTCTGTTCAATGCCTTTCTTTTTCGACAAGTAGTAGAAATATGATTATCTAAGGAAAAAATCTCCTTATATTTTGAAATGTCAGTTATCTTGAGTTTAAGAAGAAACTATCATTCTTTTCTACAAAAGGTCATTCACTAGAATGCTGCCTCTTAAGGTTCACTCCCAACTTTTTATAGGAAAGGCGTAAGCAGCAAGGATATTGTGGTCTCAGAAAGCATCATTTTGAGGAAAATTTTTAAGGCCTTCAAAAAGAGACTCCTGAGGTAGCTTAGCACAACCCCCACAAAGGCAGAGGGTGAAATACTACTGGAAGACAAGTAAACAGTCCATACAATCATTTAACTTCCCATTTGCCTAAAGATCGTCAGTTCTATAATAGATGCCATAACACAGCCCTGGAGATCAAGGGCTCAAAACACTCAACTCAGGTTCTTCTCAAAACACTTTACAGATGCCTGGAATGTCCTGCTATACCTTGTAGTCAGGTAATCTTCAGGGCAGTATAAAAGCAAAGGCTTCCTTTTCTCTTAAAGGGCTCTGGTAGTTGTGAAACTAACACGGTGACCCTAGAGATGATCAAAACCTAGAGAAACACTTGTTCTCTAAGTTAATAACAGTGTGCAATTTTCCATCTTGAGATACTTCAAACTAATTTCTCCTTAATGGCAATATTCTTTTATCTCAATATCATTTGAGTCAATTTATGATCACTTGGTTTAGTGATGGAAATGAAATACACCAAATCAAGGTAATCTTAGCCATAAAACTGGCTAATTGGATTATTCAACTGTCCTTTCCAACATCGAGAGTGTCAGAAAGCACCTTAAGTATAGTCAGAGTCTTTAACTGAGCATAGTAGAGTCCACTCAACAGATTTTAGGAGAAAGAGGTTATGATTAAGGGGTGTTGGGAAGGCCACAAAATCTCTAGGAGGATGGGATAGCTATGCTTGAATGCCTCAGGGCACCCAACCACATTGTGGAACCATTCTAGAAAACTCGCTACTGCCACTGCCCCCTCTACCACCTGCATTTGCATAGACCTTGCTCTGGATTAGCTGCTCAGAAAAGTAGTTGCCATTGCACCTTCTAGACCAGCAGTATCCCACAGAACTTTTTACATTGATGGAAGTTATCAGCATTGTTGCTATGTTATGCACTAGTCATATGTGTCAATGAGCACTTGCAATGTGGCTAGTGCAACTGAGGAACTGAACTTTTAATTAATTTAAATGGTTATCATATTGGAGAATAGTTCTAAATGTGCAATATTGTTCCATATTGCTCACATGTGTATCCAAATCTTACTCAAGTAGGATTTGAATGCACATATGACCAAGGGAACCTAGTTCTTATATCTGCACTGAAACTATGATTCTACCTTGGGAAAGTGGGCTCACAATCTTCAGGCTATCCAAATGTAAAGGAAAAGGTATTCAAAAGATTCTGGGCAGCTGCAAATGATGACTATCCAGTACAATGTCCTTCTGACAACTAAAGCCCCTCTACATGCATGTAATGTACAGATGACTTTGGAAATGCACAACTGTACTGGGTAAGAGGTGATCATCAGAAGAGCACAAGAACAATAGAAGACCAGAAGAACTGGTGTTCCAGTACACATGTGCAGGCAATGCAGACATCTTCAACTAGCATTTATTGAGCCTTGACTCCTCTTCGCCTATGGCTATGATAAGAAGCTAGGGTGGCCCTGGCTGGTGTGGCTCAGTGGATTGAGTGCCAGGCTGCAAACCAATGGGTTGCTGGTTTGATTCTCAATCATGGTACATGCCTGAGTTGTGGGCCAGGTCCCAGTAGGGGGCATGTGAGAGGTAACCACACATTGAGTTTCTCTCTCTCCCTCACTTCCCCTCTGTCTAAAAATAAATAAATAAAATATTTTTAAAAATAAAAAAAAGAAGCTAGGGTAAAATTTTAAAAGCTCTAGGTAATTTAAAACTAAGAAAATTATAAAATTATAAAATATTTGTTAATTTATTTTAAAATAATAATTACACGTTAATCTAAACTTTTATAAAAATTTTATTTTCTCCTCAAAATGAGAAGAGTGGCAGTGTTTTTACTTTTTGCATTAACAGAAGACATCTGGACTCTCATATCTGCTTGCACATTCAGGCTTTTACAATACCATACATCACATGGCCTCTGGAAAACCCCACTGTACACTAATGGAAGAACGAGAGTGGAAAAAAGCAAGTAAGTCCTTGTTTAAAAATGTTTTGACATCACTGATCCCTTGAAAAAGTGTCGGAGGGCCCTATGGGTCCTTGGAGTATATTCTGAGAACTGCTAATCTAATGAAAATTCTAATTACCGTATTCTTCAGACTATAAGACACACACCCCCCAATTTGGGTGAGAAATGGGGGGGGGGGCGTCTTATAGTCCGAATGTAGCTTACCCAGCTTGTTGGGGGGGTGGCCTATGTTATTTATGTTATTAAATATTTTACCACATTTTTTGCTTCAAAAAATTTTTTTCCTATTTTCCTCCTCTAAAACCTAGATGCATATTATGGTCCGATATGTCTTACTGTCAAAAAAATACAGTATACTGTGAAGATGGAGACAGGAGTTTTCATTGAAATGACAGACCAAAACTAGTGAAATTATAAGGAGAAATTAACAAATTCATTTAAAAAACAAAATTCTTATCTCTAACCAAGGGGAAGCCAATAGATAATATCTAGTTAAAAAATTGAGTAGCTTCAAGCATATTAATTTGGGATAGGCACACAATTATCAAACGAATTAGCTAAGAGTTTAAAGTGGTAGCCGCCTTGGAGAAGAGGAAATGGAAAGCAGAGAGGCTAAGGTCTGGTGTTTGTCTTAACAAATCTTATAGAACTATTTGATTCTTTAAGTGATCTTCACTTAGCAAACTACATATACTTTGGGTAAAATTTGTTCTTAAAATCTAAAAAGAAGAGAGCCAGAACAGATCAGAACCACACACACATGGAGTTAGAAAAAGTTGCCAAAGTATTACTCCCCAACCCCTGAAAAGGCATTGGTACCAAACAGTTTTATAGAAAGTATCTATTAAATGCTGTGGAAAAGATAATTCCTATGTTATGTAAAGCATTTTAGGAGAGAAAGCTTCCGATGATCCAATATTTAAATAAACAGTTATTATATCACATGCCAGGCAATGCAATTAAATACAGTATATACTGATCAATATTTCTGAATGGATCGGTAAGGACGAGTTATGCAGAGAAGGGCAATCTATTGCTGTGAGTGCACTAACAGACTTTTAAGAGAAGCTTTTTAATATCCAGTAACACGTGCATAACTCAATTAAGGTAAAAGTGAAGCCATGAGTTAAACCACATGAAAATGCAGTTGATGCACTAGCACTTTTTTTTAAAGATTTTATTTATTTATTTTCAGAGAAAGGAGAAGGGAGGGAGAAAGAGAGGGGGAGAAACATCAGTGTGTGAGATAAACATTGACTAGTTGCCTCTTGCTCGCCCCCAACTG